CGAAAAGGGGGGTGCACACTTCATTTCCACCCGAGTTTCAATGGTCATATAACAAACTTTCTGGACAAAAGGAGGGGTGCGCACCCTCTGGATCCGCCTCTGCTGTAGAGTATGTATCATATATATCTACACATCACATACTTCCGCAAGAAGCGTCAAATTTCAATAAAGTGCATGTAGTTGTAGTTTCCATGCCATTTGATTGTGTAGCCAATCATTATATGATAATATACATAATGTATTTTATTGATAAATCTGAAAAAGAGGACTAGTTCGAGGGATGTGTTGCATTACGTCCCCTGAACTATTGCATTTGTTTTCGACAGTTACGTTTGTTTAAAATGAATATTTTAAGCAGTCTGTGAAATTATGACTGCAAAACAAATAGGTGTTAGCGTTTTTGGTGGTAAAAGCAAACAAAAAGTGCTGTCTTCATGGGTGTTCATTCACATATTTTCACATCAATATTTCCCTTTACACCAAACGGAATTGTTTAGTCTTTTGCACGTTTCGACTGATCTTTTGGATATCTTCGTTTGATTTTAGTTTTAGTGGACGACACAGTCTTATGGTCATGGTTTATCTTACGCTTTACAAAAGTGCAGGAGTGCACTCCGAACCGTTTCTCAGAAATCTCAAATAGTTATATTATTATTTTTCATTTTGTGACATAAAATATAAAGATATAAAATATATATACATTATTCAAGTAATATATGTGTACTCAGAGATTCATTGCAGCTGTTTCACGACGTAAATTTGAAGAACATAAAAAAGTAAATCTGCTTTTACCTTGTCCATATCTCAGTTCATCAGAACGTTTTGCCCCATAATCCCAAAGAATCCGCGAAACGGCCAGGTAACTGGTAGTAACAAGGACTGACTATGCAAGAAACACACGCTAGCTTGTCACTTGTGGTGGCATGAGCGTGTCGGTAACGACAGACATGCGGCGACGTCGCCCGGAGACAATCGCCGTCGAAGCTGTTGAGATTGTCGGCTGATGTTGATTCTGGTGTTCAATGGCAGAGGAGGGCCGTTTGTCAGCTTCCAGAGGAAATTGAAAACCCATTGTTCCTAAGAATGTTTTTCTTTATCCGGCTGAGCACTGTGCAAACAGACGGAATTTAATGAAATTAGCTGGAGAGATCGTTCATCATGTAGTGGCAAGATTAGCTTGACGGAATATTTTGCAGAAAGGCCACTGTTCTGATCTGCCGTACGTGCTGCGGAGAGAAAGCATAACTTAATGTTGCTGGGTTCAGTACTTCATGAACTATGTTTATTAAGTTGTAGTGTTTAATGCAAATACGGGAATACAGAATTTAGAAAACCATGATGGTAATAAATCGGGAAACTGATTCAGACAGAGTTGATGTTTAACTTTGCATCAGCATTGCGTCAGGCTATGGCAACAGCTGATTAAAACGCCAAGCTTAAACATACATGCAAGTACATCTACATCTATCTTCTTGTCAAGGTCGTATTGGCCGTACAGTGATTAAAGTTAAAGAAAATCAACACAATTATAACAAATCAAACGCCAACATAATTAAAAACAGTTTAGTGGTTAAAGCGTTCTCTCGTCACGTCGAAGACCCGGGTTCGATTCCCCACATGGGTACATTGTGTGAAGCCCATTTCTGGTGTCCCCCGTCGTGATATTGCTGGAATATTGCTAAAAGCGGCGTAAAACTAAACTCACTCACTTATCCTATTTGGACTGGTATATAGTAATACGTTTTTCGAATATTTTAGTGCCAAGGATATTTTTATGTCAAGGAATAAAATGTAAAATACAGGAAATATTACCAACTGAACATTTCCACCATGTGTCACACTGATAACACACTTGTGACATAGGTCAGTTGACAAACACATTTACCACTGTAACACCGTTATCAACATTAACGGCTGTCGAATATCCATTTTTATCAAATCACACGTACCATGTCCACCTTCGTGGCATGCAAGCTATTTTTGTTCACTTGTAAGCGCTCTTATCAGCAATGCCTGTGTCAAAATAGGAATATATATTTCTGTGGGATACGATGACATGTGTCAACCAAGTCGGCGAGTCTGACCACCCGATCCCGTTAGTCGCCTCTTACGACAAGCATGATTTGCTGAAGACCAATTCTAACCCGAATCATGTAGTTCCTTTACGTTTACTAAAGATATTGTCGAAATAATACTCTGTGAATATTTTGTCACAGTGTTATACATCTGCAGTCACTGAAAGCCCACTGAGGTCACACATGTATTCTGTGTATTGCGGGTGTACTCTGTGAGTGAGTGAGTTTAGTTTTACGCCGCACTCAGCAAAATATTCCAGCTATAGGGCGGCGGTCTGTAAATAATCGAGTTTGGACCAGACAATCCAGTGATCAACAGCATGAGCATCGATCTGCGCAATTGACAACCGATGACGTGTCAACCAAGCCAGCGAGCCTGACCACCCGATCTCGTTAGTCGCCTCTTTGACAACAAGGGTTACTGAAGGTTCATTCTAACCCGGACCTTGACGGGTCGTATTCTGTGACCATCGTCCAGTCAGATATAGATCGTAATATGTTGTATAACAATGGTCCTGCGATGTGTGTTAATGCTTATCTAATATGCTTCAACCTTTTCACCATGTTCCTGGGATATTCGCCCAACTAATGTATAATTGATTATAAACATTTATCGTACAAGCATTATAGATTTGGCTACTGACGTATAAAGTGATTGGTCTATTCGCTGGAATATCGTGTTTCTGTGAGGGTTCAAAGTCTTCAGTGGCACCTCTGTTTACGAGTTAATCCTAAATCTCGCGGTCTGACAAATTAATCGACCACATCCGACCAGTAATGTACTACCCATTGTGTTATATTCCATGATAGAAATTGGACAAAACTAGCTGGTTGAAAACATTGTCGATCTTCCAGTGTATCATATTTCATTTCTATTAGAATAGCAGACGGTACACACAGGTTTCGTATCAGAGAAGACGTCATCATCTCTATCGTCTAAAACAGCAATAATATCAACAAATATTATGCCTCGCTCAAGTCAGTAATTTGACTGATCGGATATTTTTAGAGTCGCGCCTTGCGCACCGGACGCAAATCTACGCACTGTTGGCAACAAAAAACGCCTCTACTTAAGACATACGGGTAAGATTTCACCTCCTAAACTATGGCGTTTGTGTGAACATCCCGGATTTATGGATCATGTATTATGTGCAGTTTTTAATGATTTTAAAATGTGGCATTTCTGTTATTTGACGGTTTTAATCATATAATGCGTCCCTCACATTTGGGGATTCAACTCAGAATCAGTTGCTATGTTGAATAAGTTGTTCCATGTTTTAACCAACGCTTGTCCCACTTCAGCTAACGTCAATGGCTGATTCTGGGCTTGACGTAAAACGTCGCTCCATTTCATCCCAAGCGTGCTCGATAGGGGACTGGTCCGGAGAAACAGCTGGCAAAGGGAGTACTGGAATATTCTGCTGTCTCAAGAAATCTATCACAGCACGAGCGACATGCGGACGGGCGTTACGTCTGTCATTGAATGAACGGCTGTATAACGGCCAGTGATCTCATCCCTGCCAGATGGACATACTGCAGGCCGTCGGGGCCGGATGTTGTGCTCCCTCAGTCGGTTCCGTACTGTCCAGGAACTGATTGGACGTAAACCAGGAATGGTCTGAGCATCATGGTAGTATAGAACCGATTCCTTAGATGGGTCAGCCGAATGTGGTTGTCTTGCTGACGTGACGTCACGCGTGGACGGCCGGCCTGAGACAAATCTCTCGTGTTTCCATTATTTTGAAAACGTCTCCATAGAGATGCCAAAATGTCTGGCCACTTCATGATCATTTTGGGGCATTCCAGTCTCCAGCATACCCACGGCGCGGAGAGGCTGATTTTCTGTCAACCGTTCGGACAGTTGAGGTGTATTAACGTTTTTTCCACAACATTCTGAGGCAAGAGAATAATCAACCGTTCTTCATTTTCAATATCAGGTGTGTGAACTTCAGGTGTAAAATAAGCATGGGAAAAAGTGAGTAAGTTCATTGTGTACAAAGTGCACGTGCCTCGCGTGATACGTGACATCAAATTTCATGCAAAGTGCTTTGCTACATGTTTACTTAGGGTTATTTCTTCCGTTAGTATATGACGTTAACACTCGGACGCTAGCGAACGTAGAGCGAACTGTATTTCTTAAACAATTCGAGGTTGTTATCTATACAGTGTAACCGATAGTTCAGGTACACCCAGATGTTGTTGGTGTTGCGTATAGTCGGGTACGCTGACACACCACTAGCCAGGCTACATCTTGTCTCTCTCCAGGCTTCATCTCGCCTCTGACGATAATTCTGCTGAGGCATATTCTCTGTCCCTAAACCATACAATCATGTCATACTATCTCTGCATCCATCACTGTCGGTGAGAATTAGGGCTGTGCACCCCTCCTCTGAAGCCGCCTATGCCCATGTGGGGCCGTTAGTGTGATTATCACTGACATTTTTTATAAACATTTATCCTAAGGTATCAATTTCTTTGATAAGGTTTCCCTAAGTAAGTGAAAGATCAGTTATCGTGTCCCCAATTCTGCGGAATTGCATTGAATTAACATTGCATTGCATTAACATTTTCAGGAATGACCCAAATGTGTTGTCAAATTGGAAGAATTGGGAAAATATACAGTATATATGGTATTTAATATGTCATTTATAACATCGCATTAACGTAATAACGTTAGATTTACATACCCACACGTCCATCAACATATAATGTCTTGCATGATATTCAGTAAACAGACGGGCGATGGGGCAGCCTAGCTCGACACGCCGAAGTCCCGGGTTCGATTCAGCACATGAGTACAAAATAAAGAACAACATCTACAACTGTTCTAAAGCATTTATACACAGTATAGCAACAGTAAACCGATACAAAATTAGAGGAATACTTTCTCGAAATCTGAGTTTCCAGGTAAGATATACACGAGGGTCCAGCACAGCCTTTATTTCAGCTATAAAACAGCACGTGATGGGTAAGTATGTACCATCAGATTTAAAACTGATTAAATTTAACGCGAAACCATATCAAGGCATTGGTATACATTACAATTAAATTAAAGGTGTTGATGTGGCGTCGGTGGAAACTGTGAACAATATTCGTCATATCCCCCTCTGTTCCAGGGATTGGTTTCCGGGAAGGCAGTACTAACAGCATTATACCGCAAGAGGGCGTTCTTCAGCTTCTCAGAAGATGGGCCAGTAAACTGCACAAAGGACACCTGTTCTCCAGAAGGGCCTTTCAGATAGGAGTACCTGAGTCCCTGGAGCGGTCCTTCAGTGAAGGCTACGCTGTAGTCCTCTAGGGGAACCTGCTGACCGAAAGAGGTCACATCTATGGCCCTGTTTCCTTTCACCTGTGGAAATCCTCCGACAGCTGACCTCTGTTCCATATCTCTTAAATAGGAATTCATATCCACTGTTTCTGGTAAAAGGAAGGTAAGTCGCATGTTGTTGATCAAAGCCGGCGTGCTGAGGTTGAAAGTAGGATTGAACAATGGGAAACTGTAGTTCCTCCCCGTGTCATACTGCAGCGTCTCGACAACATAGTTGTCAAAGTAAGTAAATCTCAGAGCAAGGCTCATGTTCCCTGAGAATGTGAGGTTAGCAATGCCCAGACTCTGATAGTCAACGTGCCATTTCTCTGCCTGTAGCATCTCCTTCTGGAACAACGTATTCTGCTTGCCATCACCGAAGAAACCAGCATCACCATTATCCCCAAGGGATCCTCCCAGTATTTCGGTATAGAAATCAACGGAAGCGAACAGGCCTCTAGTCCTCGTGCCATGCTGGAAGAGCCCATAGTTTTGTCCCGTAAACCCAGCACGTCGCTTCCACACATTGTCAGGATGCGGTTTGTCCAGGAACGCTGTGCTAACGGCCTTTCTCTTGCAATACTCCTTACCAGCATCTAACAAGACATCCCCAGCCATCCTGTTTAATTCCAGTTGTTCACCTGATGGACCTTTAAAATATACCCATTGCATTGTCTGATTTGTGGCATTAAGAGGCATAGTGTAGTTTTTAATGGCGACCCGTTCTCTTTCAGCCTCGCTGTGTACTGTGACGGGTCTGTTTGCCTCCACCTTATTGAACCCAAGCTGGCGGGATCGTGTCTCCAAGGCATGCACGTACATGTTGAGGTCCAACGTGGGCTTCACCCAAAAATCTATGTGTCCGTTGGGGACAACAGCGGGACTAGTACGTCGGTCAGTGACATCAAAACCCTTCTCTGGACACTCTTTGTCCACAAACTGCAGCAGCTGTATCATTCCGTTGTCAAAGAAGATGAAGGCCCCGACAACCTGAATTGGGAATAGAAGAAACGGTGTATGGGGGGAGTGGGTTTAGTGAGTTTAGTTTTAAGCGTTTTGGACAAAATTTCACTTATATCACCGCATGTCAGCTTGAAGAAGGCGATAGACATGAATGGGAATGTTCCTAACAAAATTGAAAACATATTTGACCATTGACGTCTGACGCGCCTACTCGTGAAGGGCCGGGTTAGAATGAACCTTCAGTAACCAATGCTTGTCGTAAGAGGCGACTAACGGAGTCGGGTGGGCAGGCACGCTGGCTTGGTTGACACATGTCATCGGTTCCCAATTGCGCAGGTCGATGCTTATGTTGTTGATCACTGGATTGTCTGGTCCAGACTCGATTATTTACAGACCGCCGCCCTATAGCTGCAATATTGCTGAGTGAGGCGTAAAACTAAACTCACTCACTCACTCACTCTGACGCGCCTAAGGTTGAATTCGTATCTGTGTACAGTATATTTAAATGTGGGAATTTCATGCATCAGTGTCATGTGCAAATAAACATTCTTAAATAAGCACGTATGGGAACTAACATTATCGAAACTACAATAAACATTTCTGTAACAGACATGCTGCTGTCCGGACTGTCACACTCGTCTAAGGCTCAGATATTATTTATGTGGACCCAGTGCGGTTTCGCATTGTTGAAAAAAACCTAATAACATATCTATGACCATGGAAACAACCATCCGGTTCCCTCATAACGTTTTGAGATATGATACCAAGTCTCAGTATCATTTGACTGACCTCGTATGTCCCATTATGAGATATAGTAAACGGGATACAAGTGTTCTTGCCCAATAAGTTTCGAAATGAATATTTCAGGTTTTTCTCTTTGGACATTGTTTTTAAATCTTGTGTTTTGTACGTTTTAACCTCAAATATAGCAGTTTTATGATGTCATTGTGTTTTCTCAGGACTTACCTCGTATGTCCCATTATCGCTGATGTCCGGGACCCCGAGGACCGCCGGGGCGACCATGCTCTGTCGGGCCTGGAGGATCTCCTTCTGGAACATCATGTTGTAATGCTGGTTTCCAGAGTAGCGGAACATGAACTCTGGCTCCAGCATCCCGCCTAGAATCTCAGTGTAGAATCTGATGGAGTTCGTCAGGTTGTCAGTGGTAACGGAGGTGAAGGCAATACTCAGAGATACATTCCTAGAACTTGTTAAATAGACAGCCGACAGAAGAAAGGCAATGTGTATTATGGCCTCCATATTTGTCGAAGAGAAACAAAATGGTTGGACTTGTACCACTATCTTGAATTAGGTCACGTGTCAAGTTTGAAGGTATGATTAGAAAAATGATAAGGATATTCGACCTTATGCTCTATAAACGATTTCTCGCGGGGTTATCTGAAGCATGGTCCATTTCCTGACTAGTATGTCACAAGGAACCACCCACTTTGTTAAGTACACACTGCAAGTATTGATGTTTCATAAAATACAATGGTAAACATATACAACCTCTTGAACTGGATGTGTGTTGCAATACCTTGTGGTCCAGTGGAACATGATGCATGGAGTACCCCAGTCATAACGTGTACTACCGACACTATGTTTACAGATGAAACAAGGCAGTGTTTTCGATTCATAGATGGCAGAATAAATGTATTTGGCGACGCAACGGCAAGCGGTATTGTAGCGGCCATAACATTTCCCAGTCCAGTGCTTGCATTCGAATCACGGACCTCCTGATCCGAAGTCGGACGCCTTGTTCACACGACCAAATAGATTAACCCTGTCAGCAGGCTAACAAATAGTATGTGTCCAATAAAAAACACAAATTGTCTGGCAGTTGAAACGCATTGTTGCTGCATGTTAATAATTTTATACTTCGACTCATCGTATTTTAATCAACATGATGTGTGGTTTTGTAAATGCATCTGAAAAATATGCAGTCTTAAAATGTTGTCACTTTTTAAAAATACAACAGGAAATATTCAACAATCAAGTGACTGACTGAGTTTAATTTTACGCCGCTTTTAGAAATATTCCAGCAATATCACGGCGGGGACACCAGAAATGGGCTTCACACATTGTGCCCATGCGGGGAATCGAACCCGGGTCTTCGGCGTGACGAGCCAACGCTTTAACCACACCACCCCATGCAACAATCAAGATACCATGCTATTTAATAATACAAAGTGTCTGCATCATCATGTACAGTAACTACTTGTAATCAATTAGTGGATTCACCAATCGATCCCGCATGTCATAAGACAGAACACAAAACATACACCACCAGATGCATACCACCTGGCAAGGTTTGCCTGGTCCAAATGATTTTATGAGAGCTTCGCGAAGTATTCCACTATGCTTCGATTGTAATGTTGCAGCTTTGTTAATTCTGGCGAGTCTAAGGCATACCGATGCGTTTTACTTAAACGTGGTAACGTTGATAAGGTGTTTGCAGCGTACACCAGGTGCATCATACCTCCAAATCAGTGAGTGAGTGAGTTTAGTTTTACTCCGCACCCAGCAATATTCCAGCTATATGGCGGCGGTCTGTAAATAATCGTCTGGACCAGACAATCCAGTGATCAACAGCATGAACATCGATCAACGCAATTGTCAACCACGTCAGCGAGTCTGAACACCCGATCCCGTTTGTAGCCTCTTACGACAAGCATGGGTTACTGAATATCAATTCTAACCCGGATCTTCACGGGTCACTTCCAAATCAAATTTCTTGGAACATAGGCATTGTCCCATTGCACTTTAATTATTAGTACACAGCCTTGAGGTCTAACAATAGTCAGTATGTGGCACAAGGGTCGACAAAATATACTTTAGGCAACATCGCAGTCTGTTCGGCCTTCGAGACAGGAACTCTATAGATGAACATAAACGATCTCCTCTGAGGAGAAGTAGTCATAAACATTCAATGTAACAAATAATTAGCGACAAGACGGTACATTTCAACTTTTATAAGTCCACAAACGTCAGCCTATGGCGTCTACTATTGAGAACTTCCAACGGACGGCCGAGCCGAATCTGCCCTTTCTACCAAATTTCCATCTAGGGTCACACGACTCCTGCTTCACAGTTGTTTGATTTCTAAATTTGATGCATTAATGATAAAAATAATGCCTATATTTTAACGTGTACCATACGTCAGCAGGTTTGTTTTGACAGCTGAACAAATGACTACCTTCTGCGTGGATTTGTGACGGGTTCCACCAGACGGGTAAGGTACGCTCCTCATTTCACCGCAATCACCTGGTTTGATTAAAGGCACAATTTCACACATTTTCGACAATATTTTGGTCTATATTATGAATATTGGGGTATATGCATACACTGTTGTATAATAAAAGACTTATTACCCCCTACGACTTGCCTGAAATCGATAATTGAAACTTTGAGGCGAACAGCTTCCAAACAGAGAACACTAGCCATATATGGAATGTAAACAATTGCTCCTTTCGTCGAAAACTGGTGTTTTCGGTCGGTGTTTGCCGAACTGGCTTCAATCACAAGTTGCGCATATGTTTTATCTAAGACTGAGTTCTGTCTCCAAAGCAGTTTTATATGATATTCGTAAAGAGCGCTCGAAGGGACATAACTCTATGGGGTTCGCTTGAAATAATGTTCGGCCGGTAGAGGACGCGAGGGTCGATTCAATGCAACGTTGCATTATTTCATTCGAACTTTTTAATTTACTATTGTAATCTTAATACGTAATTTTTTGGGAAAAATATATGGTAGCTTCCCTGAGGGCTGATAGTATTATTGAGAGAAATGCATTATCTATTTTTAGAGAAGAGTGGTGTGAAATAGTGCCTTTAATAAGTCAGGCATGGGAATATAGGCTTCCACTTCTGGTCTTCTTCAGGTTTACCCTCATAATGCACAAAGTAGAAGAAAGTTTATTACTATACTAATAGATTTTCTACCCTTACCGCCAAATGATAACTAACAAATAAAAACATACTGGAATGAAGCGGATTGTTATCATGTCAATGAAAATATGTATTGTAAAACGACTGTTCCATATACCTCCATATACTGTACGATTTGTCGTATATGAAATGTAACTACGGCCATGTTGCCTCCAATTGTGAAATAATGAATCAGAGAAAGGCATGATCAATATTTGATATTGAATCATAAACACATGATTACGATATAGTTGAATATTTCGTGTGGCTGTCAAAAGAGCTTTTCGAATTTATTTGTCTTTATTCATCATCAATTTTAGGACTTCAATGAGCTTCAACCTTCTTTTCTTCCCCAGTTGGCTACTATGAGTCACAGGTGTTGAAACGTTTGTGTTTCTAACACTGCTTGCGAATGCTTCGTGGTCGATGACATTGCTTGAAATGGCATTCGTGGAAACGGTACTGTCAGTATATACTGGTGATTGACCTTCATGAGGTTGTGGAGGAGCATGGGCTATCAGAGCGGGAACATCATGACCTTGGCCCTGTACGAGATTTACTTCCGGGTCAAGACGCTCAGTATGAATACTTGTGGAATCCGACTTGAACTGTGATTGATCCATCAGCTGTGGAGACGAGTGTAGAGACATTTGTCGTCGGTGTAGGCGGCGTGGAGGGCAGGCGTGGTCCATGGTGATACACTCATTGTCACTGCAAAGTTAAACACAGATAAAACTTAAGGCTCTGTTTCAGGCCACTAAGATAAATGAATGGTCTATCGTTAATAATATGTGATACGCATGGGATGGGGATAAATAGTTCCAGGGGAAACTGGTCACATATCAAAACAAAACTGTGCTTTAAGATACGTGTAAATATATTTTTGGTTCCTTTTTTCATGGACTAAACTTGCATGTTCTGAACATTAAATAAAAACATTTCCTGTATCAGGCAGAAAGACGCCCACTATAAACATTGTTGATAAAAATTATCATACCTGCAGCATAGGAAAACCATGGCAAAACAGCCACATCTGAGTCCACATCTTGTTCCAATATACCCATTTGCGGCCATCTTTAATGTTGCAGCACTTAAACGAGCCCGGATGTAGCCATCACCTAGGATCCATATACAAACATGTTTTAGTAATAACACTAAGGGGCATTGTCATAAATCAAAAGCAGAACTAAGGATAGTCAGCACATGTTAATGTTTGGATCCTATACAATATAACAACAAGGCTTCAATTTACCTAGATTGGGAATTTAATGATAAACCTTTTTGAGATGACCCCTTGCCCTACTTGCTGTTCTCGTTCGCCATCTTTGTTACTGTGTATACGATATACACAATCGGCTAGTCTTGCCAAACCCAGACACTACTATGGCGTGTTGCACAAATTTGATTAACAATGATTACTTGTTTACAAGTCTTGGCCAAATGATTTGTAACTTGAAATTTCAAATCCAAACTTTCATTTTACAAGAGTCGTATGTTCTGAGGTGGCCCATGGGCCAATCTGGTGGAAAAATATATCTTTGAGTGTTAAACGTCGACAACATTACGGGGCGGTGGGGTAGCCTAGTGGTTAAAGCGTGGTCATGGTCGTCTTGGCCGTTACAGTGATAAAGTTAAGGGTCAACGATTATGACAAATCAAACGCCAACATAATTCAAAACGGTTTAGTGTTAAAGCGTTGGCTCGTCACGTCTCGGGTGTCCCCCGCACGTGTGAAGCCCATATAGTGCTGGAATATTGCTAAAAGCGGCGTAAAACTAAACTCAGTCAGCCAGTCAGTCGACAACATTACAATATGCAAGACGTTTTTCATCCCTGCATTATTCAATACCGTAGATGACTTGAAGACATGATTCTTGCAAATCGTCTGTAGAAATATATTCGCAACCTCCTGTAAGCTGCATTACTAATATGATACGCACGGTACTTCAGTTTCTTCATCCGTGTCTATGCACAAGTAACTCAAAGTAAATAAATGAGGTGTGCTTGTTTTCAAATGTATTGTTTGAGTATTCTAAACAACTACGCAGCTATCTGGAGGTCTGGAAACGCATCAATGCATTAAGACCTTGGACAGACACCTCCAATTTTTCGTGTGTGTCCGCTGTCACATGGATAGTTGAAGAATATAATGCCAAATATGAGATGCACATGGACGTGCACACGTACACATAATGATTTCTAAATGGAAATAGTCAGTGAAAGGTCGTATGAACCTAAAACAAATGCAGGCAAACCTTAAACAAACAAAACAAATTAGTATCCATAATTGGATCCCTGATGTTTTCTTCGTCTACACAAACCGCTCCAGATTCAGTAGCCGTTGTTGATGCACTGTACACGTATATACATCTTACTTATTGGATATTGACCAGGCCCAACTTGCAGACATGAATTCTATTAGGTAAAGATTTCAGCATAGTTGTTCCATTCAAAACGTAACTTATTGTGAAAATCTGACGCCATTACTGATTGTCAGCAATTCGAGTACATTGTCGTTACTTCTATTTAACCAATCATGGCAATCCGAAAGTTGATAACATTCCAGCATTGATGTATTCTATTTCTGTGAATTACCGTTTGCAATATGGGTATTGATTGAGAACAACATCTGATGTTGCAATGTCTCGGGTTTTTTTATATGGATGTTTGATATTGTTCGAGACACATATTTTAGTAAAAAGATAGCTGGTGTAGTTTTAGAGCCTTTCTTATTCAGGAACCAATACTTTTACCGGTAGTTAGGCATACTATCCCGCCACAATTCTCTACAAGGCAATATTGCATTTCTCTCATTAATACTAACTATCAGTGTCGTAATGAGTGAGTGAGTGAGTTGGGTTTTACGTCGCTTTTAGCAATATTCCAGCAATATCACGACGGGGGACACCAGAAATGGGCTTCACACATTGTGCCCATGTGGGGAATCGAACCCGGGTCTTCGGCGTGACGAGCCAAGTGTCGTAATGAACAAGCAGTGCACAGTGTGCACGAGGCGCTGGAGTACCTCTTAGAGTGTATCGTGATAAAATCGTTGCTCTCCATCAAAATATAAAACATGTCATTGTTACATGTCACGTGTTTTACAGTGAATCTGTGGTATAAGATGTGATTTACACATCAGCCTGCGATAAAATCTTTCACGTGATCATAAGTGATTTAAGCTCATAGCTTTGTCCATTTTACGTTTGTAATTATGTCATTAACGTGTGTGCATATATTACCTTCAAATAATGATAAAATCGGATATTAATTCAACACGAATTATCAGCCTACACGGGAAACTTTCAATGTCAGTGGGAAAGTGGATTCACCTCGCCATACCTTAACAATTACCTCATTACGTCACTGACACGGTTGCTGTACATAAATGGGGGCGGTGGGTAGCCGAGTAGTTAAGGCGTTCGCCTGTCACGCCGAAGACCCAGGTTCAGTGCCCCTCATGGGCACGATGTGTGAAGCCCATTTCTGGTGTTCCCCGCGGTGATATTGCTGGAATGTTGCTAAAAGCGGCGTAAAACTACACTGGTAACCCATCGTCGGATATAAAATAAATGCTAATTTATGCCAATATGTTAATAATCCATTTACCTATGGCCGAGTATTTAAGAGAGTATGAAATACAAATACATCTAAATCGTGTCCTCCACGACTAAAAGGGTATTTTAACCTGTACAGTAAAACATACTTACAAATGAATTATGTCACACGAATATATGGAATATATAGAATATAAAATATATGGAAACGATGGCCACATTTACACTTCTCTATCACGAACACAAGGTTATTTAAACCTGTGTCATCAATATTTACAATTACTTCACATGTTGTACATAAATGAATGAGATGAATGAGATACACACTTCGGTCATTTTTGTTCTTAGTTGTTCAATGCTCTTTTATTTCACCTTGCAAAAATGATAAACTGTGCACACACCTGAAGGCATGCACACATACACGCATACGCTGAAACACTTACACAGACACAAACAAACATAGATAAACACGACTAAAACAGAAAAATATCTAATAAATACACAGCAATCTTTATGATTACTGATTGCTGTAAATATGATATACATTTATGTTGGTTGTTGCACAAATGTTGAACTTTGTTTGGGTTTGGCAGTATCACCAAATGAGAATATGACTGACTGTCCAACAAAGATCGACTTTTCTTTCTGATTTTTTCTTGATTTCATTGCACTGTGATTAAATTCCCTTGGTTCTGCACGACTTTTCTTCTACCGATTGCTAGATCAATATTGCATCAACTTGGAGCGTTCGAAGCTATGAATACACAATGACTTTTAGAAAATAGTCATGTGTAATATATTTTATGTATGAGATTACGCTTTCTCAGTAAAATATAGTAGCATTTGGCTCAGTCCTCTTGCAATGCATGCGACAGTTGATCTAACGTCTGGGGCGCCGGTTGACATTCCCGTACGCGCCGGGAAGAGGTCATCCCACTAATGCTCGATGGGGTTAAGGTCGGGCGATTTGGAAGGCCATGGAAGTACTGTAATGTTTTTATTCTGAAGATACTGAATAGTAGCTTGTGCTGTGTGAGGCCTGGCATTATCTTCCTGGAGCTGGCGATCTGATCAGAACCATGTGAAACCTTAAGAGTTCGTCTCTGTACCGAACAGCAGTTAAATTGCCATGGAGGCGCACAAAGTTAGGTTTCTGCGTGTAGGTTATGGCTCCCCACATTATGGCACGTTCCCCACAATATTTGTTAACCTGGGCCACACAATTCTGACACAAAACTGGGCAAAACGTTCATTTTGACGTCTATAGACACCGTACTCTTCCGTCACGGCACTGAAGCTGAAAGCGTGATTCATCACTGAACCACGTGGTGGTGTGTGGTCCTGTGCATAAAGCTCAGGTCACAAATCAGTTGAAGTTAAGCAACGTCAAGCGCGGAGGGTCCGTGGATGGGTGACCGTGTTTAGCAGCTTGACTCCTCAGAGTTTCTAGGACCTCAGTCCTGCCCCACAACGAAGCACATGTGATACATGTGGTCTCATCTAAGGCAAGTGAGTTTGTTCAAAATTGCCTCTGTTCAGTGTTCAACCAACAGAAAATGGGTACCCGGTGGGATAAGTCATGTGATTATAATCGTCTAGCGCCTAACAGGCAACTTGGGTTATCCGGGGTAATACTGTGCTGTGCTTTGATTGTTAGCGCTATGAGCATACCTGGTGTGGAGTTTGGCGCTATATAAATGGACACATTATTATTATTAATATTATATACGTCACCAGTTTTGTTGATTCCAGAATCGAACGTTATTGCACCACTGGACCCGTCGACGTCCCGCACAGGGCCATAATAAGGTATTCTGGCTCGAATTCCAGCTTAAATGATTACGACACTCTCCTCAAACCAGGCACTGCGCTTGTTGTTGCTATGACAGTTAAGTACCCGGATGTACCTATCCTGCGCTGCAATGGTAATCCGAGTTCTACCACTTCGAGGCCGATCCTATGTAGAATTGGTTTGTTGATATCAGTCCCATACACGACTGATGGTACCCTTGTGAACAATCAGGTGACGTGCAACGACAGATTGAGACTGACCAGCATCCAAAGGTCCAATTTCAATGTTTCGATTTTACATTCTTTCATTTAGCTGAATAATGCCAGTGACCCGTCTAAGAGCAAAAGGGCTCTGTATAGGAAATGCCCCTGCCCACGATTCCTTGACACTTTCTCGCATTAAAGTTTCTGAAGATGCGTTTTGCACAGTACATACGTTCAATGACCATAAGTCAGCATTATAATGGCGAAACTATAACAATCAAACATTAATTTTGAAAATCATATAAATTTCAAATATCAATAGAGCCTATGCTTTCTTTTTTTGGGAGGGTATAGTTGAACCCAATCGTTACATTCAGGGATAGGCAAGAGATAAGATTACAAGCCTAAACGAAACCTCTTCCAAAACAAGTGCGTGCTATTTAACAGGTCAGATCATTGTTCCATCAGATTTTAGAAGGTTATCAGCTTACTATATTAAAACCATCACCAGTCGTCCCTACCCTCATCGTAAGAACCCCTTCCGTGGTGTAGTGGTTAGAGCGTCCGCCCGAAGAGCGGAAACTCGCGGGTTCGACCCCCCGACCGCGTCATACCAAAAGACGTTAAAATATGGTACTTGTTGGTCCCTGCCTGGCGCTTGGTATTAATGGGTACAACAAGGACTGGTCGGCTTGGAGTCAGTATAATGTGTCTGAGTGGGGTATTCATGCTTCACTGTGGCATGGTATCACAGTGGGCTAGCACTATAAAACCAGCTTCAGTCTGGGCTAGTACAAGCAGCCGCACATACACATACACACGCATGCACGTCGTCATATGAGCGAAATATTCTCCAGCGCGACATTAAACCCAATTTCACCTCACCTCACCTTATCGTAAGAGCTATAAGCATTGTAAGTATATTGCACAATTTTCGCAAAGACCTGTTACAATGGCAATTTCATAATAATTCATATCGTACTATCGTATTATAATATCGTACAATAGACAGTGTTATCAGTGAGTGAGTGAGTTTACTTTACGCCGCTTTTAGCAATATTCCAGCAATATCACGGCCGGGAATACCAGAAATGGGCTTCACACAGTGTACCCATGTGTTGAATCGAACCAGGGTCTTCGGCGTGACGAGTGAACGCTTTAACGGCACCACACAAGACAATGTTATCAGATAACATTATATAAGATCAGTTTAAAATTAAAGACCCAAATCAGATAAAGTGTACGGAGATCGAGGACTTATTTTATTTGTGTTTATTCCTTACAGTTGAACACCAGACAAGGTAACAAAAAGTAACTTGTTAACCATGTTTAAGACTGTAGTACGGGGAATCACCTACCTGTAACGTATAATGAGAGATTGGGGTCATAGCATTTCCCAGATGTTTGCGAAATCATGCAGCCAATGAACACTAATAGGATCCACATCTTCTCACTGAAACACAACTGTTTATGAGTTATGGTTGACTAGAGGTTAAAGGAGGTTTGTCTGAGAATAGAACAAGGCATTTTTTTAATCTACATAATGTTATCTAACTTCAGAAGTGGATTACCAGTGTGCATTTAACTGCGGTTCTAAGTAACTGGTACAAAGTAACGGAGACACATAGGGGCATCGCTCACCATATAAACATACAAACCGGTAGATAGTCTAACGTATTTAGATATTTCAATATTTGAACACTCGGTCGTGAAACGTTCTCCTGTTTAAGAAGCAAACATAATTTGTAAATGTTAGTGTGTTCAGTTTTGAGCAAATGAAAAAAATGCGTATTTAAACTCCTTCAACTTAAAAGGTGCCTCTTCAGTTGACTGATGACGTCATACGTGCTTTGAAAGTCATTTAGAGAGATTAGACAGACGTTATAGCGGCTCTACATTAGTTCATAACAGCAATACGCTGACAAAAATAGCGGAGTGTATCGTATTTTTGCTGATTAACTTTAAATTTCATCTCTGATTACCCGCTGAACACTAACATATTTGTATACTTATGTAGTTAATAACGATAACACTATACTTTACAAGTCCTTACACAACTATATTTACAGCTATATTTACAACTATTTGCACAACTATATTAACAGCTATTTACACAACTATATTTACAACTATTTACACAACTACTTTTACAACTATATTTACAACTATTTACACAACTGTTTTACAACTATATTTACAACTATTTACACAACTTTTTATCTCAAACCATTCGACTGATGCCAGCAGCTATGTGACGGCGAATGGACGTATATAATGTGGGAACTTAGGCACCCATCAGACAAATAAAAGCGTTGACATGTACAATTTAAATGAACGTTTTTTTGTTGTTGTTGTTTTACATTTTTGATGGTAATTATATAAACCCATCTCATAATATTGGCAACAAATGCCGTTACAGGATTTGTTTAGGAGCAAAAAGGAGTACATACCTGTTTGTAGTTTTAGCCGATCTGGCAGGCTGTGCTGCACGATGTCTGGTGGTAACTATTGATTTTAGTAACAGCTTGAAGGCGTTCCTCAGCTAAGGCATTGTTACTGAGAGGTTATGCGGTCAAATGTCCCAATGCATAAAAGGACACAGATTGTTCCGCCGTTGGAATGTAGTAATTAGGCTAACTCACGGACAAGCTGACGGGCGAGAGAATGCTTTAACCACTTGGTTACCTCTTTGTCAAGTTGACTGCCATGGTGACAACTACCGAAACCAGGATTTAAAAAAAATAAATACATATTTTTACTTCCCGAGTATATTGTTGATATGGTACATAATGCAATCGTCAAAAGTTAATACATAAAACAGATTTTCATAAATCACAGGTTTTGTTGTAGCATACAATAATCATCATACATTTAGGAATTAGTACAAGATACAGATATCCACAGATAGGTGTACTCTTAAGTTGTACTCTACATAGTACACTGACCCATGAAGGTTCGAATTCAGGTTATATCTTCAGTAACCCATGCTTGTCGTAAGAGGCGACAAACGGGTTCGGGTGGTCAGGCTCGCTGACTTGGTTGACACATGTTGTCATCGGCTCCCAATTGCGCAGATAGGTGCTCACTGGAACACTGGATTGTCCGGTCCAGACTCGATTATTTACAGACCGCCGCCATAAAGCTAGAATATTGGTGAGTGTGGCGTAAAACTGGACTCACTCACTCACTACATAGTACAAGTACTTATACAATCATCATCTTATTGTTGACATGTTACATAGTACAATCGTCATAAAAATTTTTGAGATGCATTTCAGAAGTTGTGAAGATGAAGGAAAACCAAGTTATGGATAGTCAACTTCTTTATTGCAATGAGTGCGACGTTTCGGTTCTAACGGTGATAACGGTGTTCGTCGCCGAAAGGTTGCACTCATTGCAATAAAGAAGTTGACTATCCATAGAACTAGGTTTTCCTACATCGTCATACAGTCTGAAGTTAATTCACAGATACAGATTTACATAATTCACAGGTTGTGTTGTAGTATACATAATCATCATACAGAAATTAGTACAAGATACAGATATCCACAGATAAGTGACCTGTTAAGTTGCCCTCTACAGCGTACAAGTAATAAAACATCATCATGTTCTTGCTGACATGTTACTTAACACAATCGTCATACAGTCAGATGTTAATATATGATACAGATTTTCATAATTCACAGGTTGTGTTGTAGTATACATAATCATCATACAGAAATTAGTACAAGATACAGATATCCACAGATAAGTAACCTGTTAAGTTGCCCTCTACAGCGTACAAGTAATAAAACATCATCATGTTCTTGCTGACATGTTACTTAACACAATCGTCATACAGTCAGAAGTGAATATATGATACAGATTTTCATAATTCACAGGTTGTGTTGTAGTACACACAGTACATGTGGTACATACTAATCATCATATATTCCGAAATTTGTACACAAATACAGATATCCACAGATAATTCAACTGTTAAGTTTTGAGGTGAGGTGAGGTGAAATTGAGTTTAACGTCGTGCTTGAGAATATTTCGCTCATATGACGACGTGCATGCGTGTGTATGTGTATGTGCGGCTGCTTGTACTAGCCCAGACTGAAGCTGGTTTTATAGTGCTAGCCCACTGAGATACCATGCCGCAGTGAAGCATGAATACCCAACTCAGACACATTATACTGACTCCGAGCCGACCAGTCCTTGTTGTACCCATTAATGCCGAAAGCCAGGCAGGAACCAAGAAGTACCATATTTTAACGTCTTTTGGTATGACGCGGTCACGGATCGAACCCGCGACCTTCCGCTCTCCGGGCGGACGCTCTAACCATTACACCACGGAGGCGGTCTGTTAAGTTGTACTTTTCTAAGTACAAGTACTAGTACAATTATCACACATTAGAAGCTCATATGCGATACAAATTTTCATATGTTTTTCCATGTTGAGTTGTGATATATAAAACATCATGGATCAAGATAATTAGCAAAGAGCGTATGGAAGGAAGACCAAAAGCATAGACATTTGCCGGCATTGTATAGAGAATGCTACATATTTTGTCACTTTATAATAGTTCAGCATTTCCCTTTGGAGAAATTTAAAGTTTGCCTTTATATTTTTAAAACTTATTTTATATGGTGTATATTTCGCCAGTAAAAACACCACATTAAGTGGGTTATTACTTTTACCCTTGAAATCAAAAATTATTTTTTCGTGCGAGAAGTCAATATTTCCTTCAGACAATATATCAAGCCAATTGGATACGTCGTTCCATTCATTCACAGTGTAAGGGCATTCACAAAATAAATGTATAATTGTTTCAGGAGTAGATTCGCAGAAAAAACACACCGGGCAGTAGTTGTATTTCATAATGTTGCTTATGTTTGGTCATTAGAATATTGTGAGTGATCTCGAAGTGAAATCACCTTAACTATACACTTTCTGTGCATCTATTTACCATTAAATAAATATTTGACCAATCCTCCTTCTTATATTGTTTATTAGGATATCCTCCCATTTATTTTGACCAGTCGGTCTGTTTTGACATTGTGATAAAATTATATTATGAAACGATTTACGCTTTTGATTGTGTGCACATATGCAAGGTATGTTGAATGGTAGTGTTGAATATTGAATCTGATAGTAGGTCTTACCCATATCAAGTACATGTATAGATCTACTATATGCTAGAACAGAACCTTTTATGCCTTCAAAGTGGAGATAGTATATTTTGACAATTCCATAATTATTTTTCAATGTTAACTTTTTGTAAGTATTTTCCGTTCTGATCTACAATATCACAAACAAATATTTGTTTCCGTTTTTGCCATATTTTCGTAATGAATGAACTCTCCCTCTAACCTGATGTTATTATTAAACCATAAAGATTGGCAGAAACGATCTGAGATTTCTTTCACATATGCATAACACCTCTTTAGGTAGAGACACAGTGCCACTAATGCATCCCTCCAGAATTGATTTGAAACATAAAGAATGATATTGTTGCATACATATTCTGCATTTGCCAAGCATAAATTGTTTGAATCAACTAAGCTTTCATTTGCAACAGAGATACATTTTGAATGTTCGAATGGAAGCCGCTTGATCCAGTGATCGGAAAAAGAATAACAGGAAAAAAGGAAACGAGAAAAAGTAACAGATTATGCTAGGAAAAAAGTAACAAGAAAACAAGAAACACTTTTTCAGTTTTTTTATTTTATTTATTAACAAAGTATAACAAAGCACATGGGGTGGGGTCAGTCTGAGACGGAGTGGGGCAAGGGAGCCAGGTGCTGCAGGCGGGCGTTGTCCGTAGGTGCCAGTCACATAGTTCTCGTCGAAGTAGGTGAGCAGTTCCTCGGCATCTTCAGGGACAATGTCCTTCAGATGATCCATACCATCTCTCACTTCATCAAATGGGAGAAAGGCTAAAGCATCAAGCTTGCCACAGAACAATCTGAAGTCTAGATCATCACGATATGTTCGAACTAAGCCAAGACTCTGGACCTTTCTCCATGTACTCTGGGTTAAGTGATAGAAACACCCTTTACTCTAGTCTGTACATGTCTACTAAACACAGCATCTTCAAATTCAGTGACAATAATCTCAACATTCATATCAACATTCAACTCATTCAGCTTATCTACAATGGCCTGAAACAATGTGGCTTGATCCACATCACTTTTGGGGCATTTATAGTATCTTTTATGATAGGTACACTAATACCTCCATCTTTGGGTTTGAGATGCATGATTTCTCGCTTTACCTTATCTTTCTTTCCTTGCCACACAAAATTGAAACATCTTTTTGAAACTTTTGTATTATATCATCAGGTGGGCTAGAGATTGATGTGATTTAACTTTGGTAGTAGCAAGTATATTAGAATAACATTTCTACCCATTGGTGTCAAATATCTCAATATCATTGTAGATTTTCTCTAACTTGTCATTATTGTCTACTATATCATGTAACTCAACATCAAAATCTATTCCAAAGAGTCTGAACTTTGACTGTGTCCAGTCGAAATTCCATTCCTTGCACATCTTATCTTTTTTGGTGCCCTATCCCTATCCATATCAGCATGTCTTTATCTGCATTAACCTTTAATCCTGAAAATGTTGCAATAAAGCTAATGTATTTAAAACTGCATAACGACTTGATTCAAATCCGTCTAAGGTCACTCTAGTGTCATCTGCAACTTGATCGTTTTATTTTTCTGACTAATAGCGCTAACAATTCAGTACATGAAATAAAAATATAAGGTGATAGTGGGTCTCCCTGACGGCACCCCTAGTTATCTTAAAAATGTCACTCGCAAACCCATTTAATAGTACGCCAGATAAAGTAACTTTTAACAGAACACTTGCACTTGGTCCAAAATTCAAAAATTTACATTTTGCCTAAATCTTCTGGCAACCGAGTAGCAATAAACCTGGAATTTAATATCTTTCTGTATAGTCCATTATTTCACATATTTGCCTTGTAACTTCCCATATATCTCTTCCTGGAACAAAACCTTTTTGATCCTCATTAATAATAGCATGTAATATTGTATTTATTCTGTATAACTGCTGAGGCTAGCTTATATGTAATATTTAATAATGATATTGGACTCCAGTGTTTTAGATTTTTTAACTTTTATTACCCTTAGGGAGACATATGATGAGACCCTGTTTTGTGATACAGAAAAAGAACCGTTGTTGTATACAAAGCTCAAAGAGCTTATCAGAAATTTGTTGAAATCATTCCAGAACAAATTGAGAAATTCAATCGAAAATCCATCCGGGCCAGGACTTTTATCATTTATCAATTTGTTTTAAAGGTGAGAGTGATTCTTCATAGGTTTTATTTTCCTTCTAAGGATTAAGCTGCATCACCTGACAAGATATTTCACCTTCCGTGAAAAATTCTTTTAATATTATTTGTGTACAATCTTCACTTAATTAAAAACTTTTTTTACATTTTGTTTGTTATCAAGTATTTCAATTTGATATTTTGTCACTGAACCATCATTTTTTCCAATTCCAATATAAATGTATTAAAAAAGAGT